GTCACACACTGAAATGATATTTTGATATGTCGTGAGATATTGTAAACCTATTTCGTGAGATATTGTAAACCTATCACGAGGTTGGATTCGAAAATCCAACCTCGTGAATGTTACAATTAAATCCAACACGACTACAATCTTCAACAGACGACCACCTCTGAATGTGATCAATATTTCTGACAACACCATTAAATAATAGTACAAAATATCACTGATAGTCTTCTGCGAAGTAACCATCTTCATAAAAAACCGAAATTATCTGGAGATACTTATAGGGAAGTTCCAAGTCTTATGCTTATTATTTCCATAGTAATTATATGCTGACAACCTATTGCACTGTATCTAGTTATCAACCACAAGCGAAAAAAAATATTCCATTTTATTCCCCAGAATCTTAAATATTTAAATTGCGCAATGCTTTCTTGTCCTTTTCTGTTGTGAATTATCTCGCATAATCCGATCCTAATAGTGCTAAACTTTTTGAATACCTACTACTTCTCTATAGGACTGATATCAATCTCTGGGAACTCCGGTTCTTATCTCTACGGTACCTGATTTACTGTTATTGTACGTTAAGAAGCTCCTTTGATAAATTTCACATGAAACAGATAGTACAAAAGACATTCTTTTTTAAAGACAATGGTCTATTTTATCGATCAGAAATGCGGTTGAGAAATATGTCTTCGCCTTTTCTGAACTCGCAATAAGAACGAGAAGAGAAAAATGGAAATGAGTGCTTTCATCCGCTCTTTTACATTGCCTTTATCTTAGCAAACAGGTTAAATCTGCAGCTGAAAGCGTGAGAAAATCCGATGCTCTCAATGTATGTTTTTAAAGCTTTGAAAAGGAAAATATTCACATTATTACTACAAAAATGCATTATTAATTTATGCTTTCCTATTAAAAAAGGATTGTATGCAAAATTACAAAAGGAAATTACAACCTACTGATAAAAATTTGTCAAAATTTCAAAATTCTCGCTTCTAAAGAATGCTTATTGATTAACCAATCAGGCGTCCATAATTAATAAGAAAAGAGTTTTTCAAACCATATTCAGTGCAGTCTGTTTAAATTGTAAGTATTGCTTCAATAAATAGCACCATTATAAGGAATTATTTATAAATACAAACGAAATTTAAACAAAAATTTCACATGCAAGTGTTGGAAAAATGAGTAAAAATAGGTTTTGAAATAAAATTAAGAGACTCAATTTTTATAGCTTACTAGGTTATGTTATCATCCCCCTCTCCAGCACAGCTGTTACGAAGGATTTCACACTAGAATTTAAAACATTAATTAAACTTGAGGGAATTACTTCTGCTCCTACGTTAACTTAGATTTTAAGTCTTGAAAATTTCTAGAAGTTTTTCATGCTTGGCAGTAACTCATTTCGTAGGCCAGAGGAGGTTTCTGTAAAATTTATATCTGAAGATTTATCTAGCTACTTTATTCGGTGAATGTGCAAAATATGCAACCATTTCATAAATTCAGTATATTTTTCTGATGATAGATTTTTATCTTGAATTTAAGAAAAATCAAGTCAAATGCACTCTTGAAATATTTTAAGACTTCATCTCGCTGTGGCTTGGTTGTTATTGTGGATTCCGAGCAGGGATGCGTTATAATTTATCATACTACCTTCCCAAGTCATGACAAGTTCATAGACCTCCTAAGAAACCGATTCTGAATTTCTCGTTTTAATAGATAATACAGCACTAGGAACTAGTGTTTAAAGTGAAGCTTATCTGGTCTGTATACATGACACCACTCCACAGTTATAAAATATGAAATTAAAGAGACACAAATTATAGGTTTTTCTTTTTGAAAAGGTCTTTCTTATGAACCTTTCGGCATAACGTTTTTTTTATACAGAGGTTTAAATAGCAGATACAATTCTTGCCAATCGACTGCACATTGCGACATGGCCGGAATAGATAAATATCAGTCATCGGTAGAAGCATTCATTTTCTTCGCCATCAACTAACTCTTCTAACAAAAGTTCCAATGCTCGTAAATTATTTACGCACATTTAACGGCTTGTATTAAACTACTCATACATTTCTCCAATAAGTCTTGAATGCTTTGCCTCTAAACGGTTTTCCAGCGATGGTTTGGATTGAATGGATGACATGTATCCATTTAACAAACTTTTAATTGTTTAATCCGTAATATGAAGTGTCCTCTTTTAAAAACAACTTTTAATTAGTCGAAACAGCAACCTTATTTTGGCGTAAATTTTAAACAAAACTAAATAATTTTAGAAAAAAACTTTTAGTTATATTTCAAATGTATGTCTAAATAAGGTTCCTGTTAGCCTAATTTTAAGTTTTCCATTTGCGCCTTTCTCTTCCTATTTTACAACAGCTTTATTAATAAACCGAGTCTTCGGCAGTAAACTGAAATTTTCGTAGGTCAAAATTTGTATATTTACACAGATAGATTTCTTTGAAGTATTTTCACATCCATAAGTATCTCCTCAATTCGCTTACAATTTTAGTAAACCCCTTTTCACAATCATTTTTCAAACAGCTTAATTTACGATTCATTTTAATTTTGGGGGGTCCAATAAAGACTTTAGACGTTTTTTAGAATGTTAACGTAAATTGCGATTGTATAACACTTTCCAAATTTATCATGAATTTTAATTATCGTCTGCACAAGCTTTGTTCTTTTTTCTTTTACGGACTTCAAGAAAAGAGATAATAGTTTGACTCTTCTTTTCAAATTTTACTCTGATGTTTTCACGGTGTATTCGTTAAAAATAATATATTTGTTTTGATTATGTTTTCCAGCCTGTACAAATTTAGCTAAAACATCAGAATTTATATTTTTGATGGTTACTTGCCATTTAATCGAACTTGAATTTAATTAATCATAATAGTGATAGCATCTGTAGTTTCATAATTTAGACGTGTAGAGTAAACATTTGCAAGAAATTAAAATTCTACGCTCTAAAATATTTACATTATTGAATGCTGCATCAATCTTTAGGATTAAAGATTTTAAGCTTTTATGTTTAACGGTATATAAGAGTGTTTATTCAAAGTTTCAATAGTTCAGTTAGAAAATGATTCGATTATATCGATATGAGGAAGGATCGAAGTAATAAATATATAAGGTATTTGCTGAGATTTTTAAACTGTTATTAATAATATGCAATGACTAATGACTGAAGAAGTATAATACAGGAAAACCTACTTTAAGCAGAAGACAAAGAAAAAAATTATGGAACAATGCCTAGTTTTTTTTTTTTTTTTTTTCCCCAATCTAGCTTCAACATTTAGAATAAACTTTTGTAAACATTTAATGTTTCTTTAATGCATATAAAAATCTAAGGTTCTCGAAAAATGATCTCGCATATTTATCTTTTGATATGAAATACATGAAAATATCTAATTGAAGAGCTAGTGTTTTCTGTCCGAAAATTCAATAGTAAATTTACAGTGAATATGCACACATTAGGTCCACAACTGGTTTCACTGTTTTTAAAATGATATCTGTCTTTTTGTGTGTATGCAGGCGACAATGTTTCGTTGGCTATAATACTTAAATGGAACTTCTGAAAACCTCGATATTTAAGCTTTCTACATTTATATAAAGAGTTGCTTAAATTTTTGGTAAGCTAGACAACCAGAAGTGGTGCTTTACAGGAAGTCCATAACAGTCTTTTTTGGACAACTGGAAGTGATACTTTGCCTGAACCACATAACAGATTTTAATGAAAACCTACTTTAAGATACGATCCATAATTTTCCTATTTTTGAGTTTAAGATTTTTATATTCATAGAAACAACATGTTAGATTTGGGCTAAAATTGATAAACTGGAAGTAATATTCTATTAAAATTCTGAACAAACTTTCGTAAAAAATGTATAATGGAGTAATCCAAAATTTCTCAGACTTGGTATTTAAAATTGGCATGTGCTTGAGAACAATATATTACATTTATAAGCATTAAATGTATTCTCGGGATTATCTAAATGCAACGAAAATAAGCTTATTACCGAGAAAAGTTTTCCTTATGAGCAATTAAATGCATTATCCTCACACCTAAATTTTGTGTTCATTCCTCTTTTGTGGAACTTATTCATTTTTCATTTAACAGAATGCTGTCGTCAAATATTAACACTATGTATTATTTTTATTGAAATAATATAGAACTTATAGATTATATAGCGAATATAAAAATTAATGTATGGTAACACTGTACATCCTATCCGGGATTCTAATGATATGCTGTTTTTAAAAACACAGTCATTAATTGTTACATCATTAATTTGTAAATCCAAAATATTATACGACCAGAGAATATACCATGATCGATACGATATTTTCAAATCAGAACATAACAAAAATGAGTACATGAGCACGTATAGATATCATTGCTCATTGTGTGGGAGAAGAGGCTAATAAAATTAGTACTCTTTATAGTTAACATTGAGCTAAAAAATTCATAACAAATTAAATTTTAAACCGAAAGGGGTTGTTTACTTAAAACTTGTTGTTACTCCGCCAATTCCATGCTAAGGAATGGAATTAGCTTGATGTCATGTGCTGGCCCCCGAACCTATCTTATACAGAAGAAAATTCTGCGCGAAAATGTGGTTGAGAAATCTGTATGAAACCTCTGTAATGCTATATAATATTATGTTTATGTTAGTTCAAACAGTAAATCTATTCAAAATGTTTCCTGTTTCGGAAGATTTTAATTTTGAAATAACTCAAGATTTTAGTTTTGCCTCGTTTAATGTGTACGTACTAACATCACTTCATTAAAATGCTTACATTGTTTAACTGTAAATTTTAACAATTTATAATAATTTTGTAAAAATGGGACATTTTAGGCTTCTATGTGTACATACGTGCTAAAATGATATTACTTAATTTACTTCTCCATATTCTTTCGAAGAGTATATTTTATTGTACCCAAAGTATATGGTTTTAATGTTCAGAAATAGCTTTCCTCGTTTCAAAATTCAAAGATCACTGTGTCTTTTCAGGTATCCCATGACCAAACTAACAGATAGTTGAACCAATGATGTCGAGGCGGATGAATCTCCTAGTTTTATTTGGTAAGGGAAATTTTTATTCGTATTTTGAAGACTAGAAGCTTCTGTAAAAACTTGTTTACTGTTTTCTTCCATGATTCTCACAGAAGTTTATCTATTTTTAAGTGTAAGTGGATAGTATCCATTAACCATTAACATTTATTCCGCTTCTTTAAACATTTCCACGCTTATGGGAATTTTTTCAAAAATCCTTCAAAGGTGTTAATAATTCTTTCTTCTACTCTTGTACTTGTTTTCTTCGATTCTTTCGATTTTCTTTCTTCGATTGATTCTCACAGAAGTTTATCTATTTTTAAGTGTAAGTGGATAGTATCCATTAACCATTAACATTTATTCCGCTTCTTTAAATATTTCCACATGCTTCATGGGAAATATTTTTCAAAATATCCTTCAAAGGTGATAATGATTCTTTCTTCTACTCTTGTATTTGTTTTCTTCGAATAAACAGCCCCATAGTCCTATCCTCAACAGGATATTAATCATTACCAAGTGAATAAACCAGATATTGTTATAATGAATCGAAGAGAGAAATTTCTTTCCTTCTTCGTGTACCTTACACATAAATAAATTTCTTCACTTTTGGATAACTGCTTTCTGGGTGCTTATTTTCCTTTTTTTGCTAAATATTGTATGATTTAATAGTTTAACGATGTTTATGATAAATGCCATGCCGAGCTACATTTTAAATATTCCACCATGAAACGAGTTAATAAATAGTCCGTTAAGAAAATTGCTTTGCCAAATCAAATAAATCTGTTTACTTAACATATTTCCACCCATAATCCATGAGTATGTGCAGTATATTTGCCTTTACTTTAATCTTTAAATTGATTTATTTATTATAATTACATTTGAATAATACATTTACTTCATTCACGAAATAAAATATATCAAACTAACAAAGTACTTAAATATACTGTGATCCAAAACTTTGTATGGCTTACAAGGAATCGCATGGATGAAACGTTGAAATACGCTTTGGCTACGATAATCGGGTATAGATTCTATTTCTTACTAATTGCATGGATGGGTTTCCCATCTGTAATTCAAACACAGTTTCTGTAGGAAATTCATGAAGGCATCTTTTATCTTAGGCATATAACCGTCGTTTGCTTTTCCCCAAGTAACGAATCCAAAATCTTTCGCAATATCTTTACTGAACTAATTATTAGAAACTCAAACTAAAATTTTTAAAAAAAATGTGAATGTTACTTAAGTACGTATTCACATCTAGATGTATAGCTTGAGTGACTAACTTACGAACGGACCTCGGCTGGTCTTAGTTATTCCCATACTCTCAGTCTACTGTTTCCACAGTCATAAATGAAGTCTCCAATACATTTACCACTTATGAGTGTCTAAGTCCAACATGTTTAGCCTCTATAATTTATCCTCGTTGGATGGACGTTGGATCGCGCTGTTTATTCATAATTACCATTAGTTCTAATTGGTCATCAGCAGCTCTCAATAGGTAAATCAGCTCGCCATATATTTTATTGATGTACGTGTTGAAGGTTCTATATGATAAAGAATAGTCAGCCAATTGATAATGCATGGAATTTTAAATTCATCTAACTTCAGCTAACTTTTCCTTTTGATATTTTATTACTTATTTTGAGAAATTAAATTCTGCTGAAATTGCAGGATTCTACTTTTAAATTTGCCTCATGAAACTGTGATATTATCCTGTATATTTTTAGTCTATTTTGCTGATTTTCAAAAGCACGTTAATTTTATATTTTTGAAATACACCTGCGAAATGTTGCACAGAAGTATCAATTAGAATTGATCATAGGTTGCTAAATACGATAGAAGGATGTTTCACTTAAAATATGCGAACACTTTCGGCAAAATATTTTTAACGCAAAGTTAATGCGCTTGAGATAGTTTGTGGATATTCACTTTTTCATAATGCACTATTTATAAGCATTCATCAAGAAATAAAAAACTTTATTTTCTTACAGAAGCCGATTTACATTCTATGGAAAATATAACTGCTTAAAAAATGGTCTGTAATAAAATACATTCTGTACATTTTCTTTCTTTTTGCAGCACTGGTAACAGCTGGGTTTTCAAAAGAGACCCCTAAAAAGGTAAGAGCACTATTTTTACTCTCGATCACTGCATTTAAATTTGAAATTTTAGAATTTTAATATTACTTACTTAATTATTATTACTTAATTAATTAATTTTAATATTTCATATTCATATATGGAAATTGGCAACAAGCAGTGTCTTAAGTTAATCTTATGTTACGCATTAAGTTAGTTCTACATTAAAGTGAATTCATTACAAATGCATTTAAGTTCGTAATGCCCCTTCGATATCTTAACCTTAAGAAACTTTCTCACGTGTTAGTGTCATCCACTGGAGGTACAAACGAATGTCTTACAGGTCAGTTATAAACCAATATTAAGACCAGTACTTCAAAGAAAATTTCGGCGAAGTTAATGGGAACATGTCCTTATCGCTTTAGGTACGTAAATGTGGCTGCATAAAATTATCGAAAATTTCCTTATTACTTCTCATTGAACCAAAAAAGAAGCGCAGGCTTACGTTGTTGCTTAAAAAAAGTATTTAATAAGCGATTATTGGAATTGAATTAAATATAATTAATTGGAATTGAATAATTATTGGAATTGAATTCGATTAAATATAATTTCTATTTATATAGCGTGTATTTGTTTGCGCAGGTTGTATGCATTGCAGGTAATTAAACAAATCCTCATTTAATTTCACTTCAGATGTTGTGATTCATCCTTTAAATTATAAATCATACTCGAAGTTTAAAAATATTAGTATCATAATTGAGGCCCGGTGGCGCAGTGGCTAGCGTAGCAGCACCACAGGTCCGGGGTTCGATCCCCGGGCTGGGAAAGGCTGACTCACCCTTTCAACCCTTTAAGTGGGTCGAAAAAATGAGTACCAAGTTCGCTTGGAAACTAAACACCGGGGGCCCGACGACAAGCTGACCACTTGACCAGGGCATATGCTCATGAACCGCGGAGCCCACGGTTTAGAAAGCAGATATCAGGGCACTGCCGACCATGACTCTCTAAGTCCTCTGAGTTTAGTTTTTTAGTTTAGTATTATAATTAAAATACTTCTATTACTACACGGAGCAGATATCCTATGAATTAATTTGCATATTACTTTTGTTAAGAGCCATAAGCTCATTTTACTTTTTCATTGATTTAGAACCCGGGTGTACAGAATTCGGATTGCGGGTTGTATATTGCCTTCAGAACCCACTGATATGGAATGTGACGTAAAACCAAAAAATGAATAAAGTGTGAATGCGCAAGTGACCTTAAAAATTTTTCTTGACAGATTTTTAATGAATGTGACTGCATATTAAATTGAACTGAATATGCGGACTTAAAGCTAGAACAATTGAAAATTATTATTTTAAAACATGACAGCGTTCGAAACAAAATTGAATAAAGTGATGTAACAATGATAGCAGGCAACAATGACAGCCATTCTTAACGAAACTTTTGGTATAAAGTTCACGATTTCCACAACCTGTAACTGAATTTTCGGATCGTTTGCTCTCTTATTATCAGTTGACTTCAAACTTAACTTATTAGCAAATGCAATGCACAAAATTCAAATCAAATACACAACATAAAAATGATTTAAGTGGACTTTTTAAATTTTTATTTGCATAAAAGAATTTATTACATGACAGAAAATTACTGGTAATTTAGGAACATGGTGTTCAAGCCTTCTGTCGCTGGAAGAATAAATATTTATGCAAAACGCTTTTTGGTTGAAATATATAAAAATGTAAAACAAGAACAAACGATTTTAGAACGATATTTTGAATACACTCTTTCTTAGTCGGTACCAAGTTTATCAGATGAAAAAAGTAGGTTTTAAAAAACAGACGTAATATTTTCAATAAGTATGCCACCATACGTTTTCTGTTAATAAATAACTTTTGCTTTTAAAGTAACAATATAGACAATATAACAGACAGACAATATAGTAATACAGATTATGTGTTAATAAATATGAAAATCTTTTTGCAGCTCTTGAGATATTTTTGTTAAGCCGTTCAATAATTTGTCTTTTTGTTGGAACCTGTATCCCATACGTTTTGAAAGATAATAACCTAAATTCACCCATGCCTTGTTTTAAGTTATTTAATGTTAATATGTTTGTGGGAGTCAAAAGAAGTATGTCGTAAATGCATTACCAGATTGAGAAATTTCCCATTCTGTCGTTCGAAAATTTATAAGTATAAAATTTATGTATATTAAAATGATTGATCATATTTCAAATGACTTTACGTCTGAAATTTGTAAACACAGAAAGGCAAGTAATCAATATGAAAGCGAAAATGCTGCTTTTTAATTTCATTTTTGTGTGATTATTTTTTTTATAACATGAGCAATGAAAAGACGATAAAATTATACAGGCTATGTTAAAATAATTGATCCGATCTGCAGCAATGAATTTATAGCAGTTACCCGATGACCCCATTTTTTTTTCTACACTACAGCCTCATGTGGACGACAGGCGAGCTATTATACTTAAGCTGCTATTGCATGTTCTCTGGAGGAAACAACTAATGTCTGTACGCCACGGCCAAGGTCCGGGAGGACATATTACATGGACATATAAGGCACTTGAAGGAAACATTGAAATACTTTGTTGCTTCAAGTGAACAGTATATCATAAGTTTAAAAGTTGCACTGCATGAATTTGAAGATTATTTAATCAATTTCATAGAATCACTTACTGAACCATATATTATAGAAACTTTTCATAGATCGTATGCAAGCATCAAAATAATAATTTACAAAAATATGTGCATACTATTTACAAATCAACGGTTTAGACAACGTGAAGAAAATATAGGAGCTTCAGGATTAAACGTTATGTGAGACTGTGCATCGCAATAGACAGTCCAGAATAATATGCTGTGCGAAAGGCCTAAATATTATCAGCATTAGCATTAATATATGCAGTTACGAGAGCTTTTCTTTTAACCTTTTTCACTTTCCACTTATAGAGCTCTCTAGGTCTGAAGATTATTTTCAGAGGGTTCTGAGAGATACTTGTCCTGCATTAAGATGCACTCATACAATTAATATCTCAAATTGCCTACTTTACCTGAGGAGCACTTGGTCCGAGTCTCTAAGGCCAAACATATGTAGATGCAGAGTACATCTATGCAAACATATGCAGTTGTAGAGCAGTGCTTAGTGTACAGTTGGGTCAGCATGGACCTTTCTAGCTTTAGGGTTAGACTAGTGGAAATAGTCATGTGTGATAGGCCCAGGTATCTCTGTATCCCACTGCCTTTGCCAGCTGTTGTCGCTTTAAGTTTTCTTTTCACTACTTTTTGGAATATGTTCAGTAACTGGGAATGTGCATGCTATTGCTACCTTTGCCAAATTCTCCGCCTTATCATTTTTTCTTTTCACACGCATAGCTCTTAGGTCACCGTCTCTTCTATAGTGCACTGTGTTACTTTAAAAACTTTACTTTCTATGTTACTTTAGAAATACCTTTGAGATGCGTTTTCTTGAATTGCCAAATGATTTCGAAATCTTTCCTGTTACTACAAAAACTATAAAAAAGGAAAGGCCAGACCAAGAATTTGATTATGATCTCTGCACTTTTCTGTGTAACTAAATGAAGTAAAATAAAACACTCACAGTAAAACTTGGGAAGTGTTTCGTTCATTTCATGTATTATGTCTGCTTACGTGAGATGGAAATTAAAAAAAAAATTAAAAAAAAACTTGAAGTAAGTCAATCGTTTCGAATCCCTCCTTCTATAAATGCCCTTTTTATATGGATACACAAATATGAAATGAAGTTAAATTAAAGTAATGTTTCATAAGTGGAAAGTGCTTTATATAATAATATGCTAGTTTTAATTTATACCTTAAATCGAATTTTTTTGCTTGTATCTTAATTCAGGTAAACTGCGAGATGTTTTATTTCAAGCCATATGCATATTTTAACAAAAAAATGTATAGTAGTCTCAGAATACTTTTAATGGATTTGGGCTTCCAATAGCATTATTATTTTTATTAATCATTTTGAATTCCATAATTTATAATAAAAATTACATTCTGGTAAACTAATTTTAGAACTAATAAGCCTGGAATTTAATTCTGGGAATTAACTTAAATTCTCTAATATTCTTATTACATTTATTAACGTGTGGGCATAGAAATGAGTGACTAACATGAAATTTTTAATTTAAACTCTATGAAATGTAACTTCGTAATTTTGCTATATAATCCAACAACAGTTCAAGCATTTTAACAATTGAAAAACTTTCAACCCTCATAATTATATTCAAAGTTTCTAAAATTTTTATACAAATTGCTGAATTCCAGTGCAGCGCAAATTATTAATTTCTTAAATGGGTTCGAAATGAATTTGAAAATCAGGTACAGATTAAAAATGTACTATATGTTTATTTACTCATTTCACATCAGATTCTATTTATATTCTGTTTTCATTCTACGTTGCAATACGACATGTTCTAAAAAGTCCTTATACCGCAGTTATTTTCGTAACGTTATTGGTAAAAATATATTTCCATTTGAATGATGCAAATGTTATTGTTTTAGCAAATTTGTATTATAAAACAAAATTGTAAAAATTACAAAATCTGATTTTTATCCGATTTCTAGATTTATATACTTATATTTCAGAAAATTTTATACTCATTACAAAAAATACGATACAAAATATTTGACTGGCATACGGCAAAACCTGACATATTTTGACATACAAAAAACATATTTTGTTTCAAAATTTTGCGCTTTTGGCCGTCATTTCAATTTTCATTGAAGAATCGGTTAATAATTAAATTCGAGTTTGATTAATTCCTTTAGAAAAGTGCAATATTTACATTTGTACACAGCAAAAAGTACTATATAACCTTATGAAAAGACTTCTAATTTTTGGAATGGTTGCCAGAGTTTCATCAAGTTGGACTTCTACTTCCACCCCAATTTTGAGAGAATGCACCTTGGCCGATGAACCGGGGGTCTCCCACCTCTCTCTCCTTCCATCAAACCACACGAGAGGACTTTCAGCTAGCCATATATTTGGAGTGTCTCCGTGCCGCAAAGACACTATGCATTAACATCTATGTCCTCATCGGGATTCGAGGCCGGGACCTTCGATATGGCAGCCGTTATCCCGTCTGAGGAGAAAAACTTCTGATGTTAATAGATTAAGTGACAAGCATAAAGTCAATCCATAGCATTATTTACATAAATTAAAAGTGAAAACTATTTCTTGTTAAAGGAACGTTTTAAATGACTTTTGGATTATGATTATAAAATAATAAAACTCACTGAGAATATTAATAACGTAGTTTTAGTATTTGAAACGTTCGAAATTGGATTCGTCTGAAAGTTTTTACGGCAAACCATGTGTAATTATAATATGAAATAATAATATTATATATTATAATTAGGTATTACCAATGGCGTAATATAATATTATAACATTGGTAAATCACAAAAGATTGTCACTAAATCATATTATAGGAAACGACATCAAACTCAAGTTAGTCTAATTTTATGTTTTAACAGACCCCTCAAGGCAAGCTTTAAATAGCCGCAAGTATTCTAAATTTTTAAGTTAATTATCTCGGTCAATTTTTGTCTTACGGAAGTCAAAAACTTTTGTATTATATTTTTCACAATAAGTGTAAACTCTTACTAAACAGAACTATAAGGACCTGAGGAATTTTTTAAAAGTTAAATTTCGTAATATTTACAGAATTAACTTTTTAAGAATCTGAACACACGAATGCGGGTGTAATTTAAAATATTTTTGGAATTGAAAGTTTATATCTACGGAAACAATGAGAAAATAAAGGCCGTGTAAGAAATTTTGTGGACACAATGGGAATTTTCAGTAAAGCAGTAAAGATCAGTCAGTTTTAATCATGTAAATTTTTAGTATGCGAACCCATTTTAAAAGAATGTTATTTTTTCAGGCATTAATCATAACTGTTGATGAATCAAAACCGGAAGAAAGTGATGTTATTATTTCAGACTTACAAGTCGAAGAACAGTCATCCTCGCCTACATATAGAACAAGTGTACGAGCATATTCGCCAAATATTTTTCATAAAGCGCCAGTTGATAAACAACTAGGATATATCCTTTTGAGCCCAGAAGATTTTAAAAATATCCAGACTGATAATGGGGTTACCGTAGAGAAACCAAAATACATCACATATCCAGTTTCTGCGGAAGTCTATGACAGTTCAAAAGGTGATTATTTACCCACTCGAGGTGCATATTCCTCGAATCCTGGATATCCAACACCAGTTCGAACTAAATATCCATCTCAGCCGGCTCCACCTCTGTCATCGTTTTCGGCACATAATGCTAGCCAGTATAATAACGGTGGTTCAAGAGTACCAGATATATCAAGCGAATATACAAATCCTGAATATAATCCATCAAGTAGGTACAATAAAGACACCGTTTCCGATGGCAGTTTAAGAAACTCTCCTCCAAATTACGATAATAAATATCGGTATGGGAGCTACAAACCATTTAATAGCTATCCTTCCTCTCAAACGTTTTCATATGGACAATCTCAAGAAGATAATGGGTATCATCAGAAGCCAAGAGACATCCCTACACCACATTCCTCTTATGTGGAAACTGGTGACTTCAAAAATTCTCCAAATCCTGAATATTACTCTAAATCTACTTCTTCTATCCCATATTCTAACGATCAGAAAGAATATAATCCGCCAAAATCCGTAACATACGGTCCAAGATATGAATCAAAATATAATTATGTTGACCAACCAAAGTCGCACTATAAAAGCGGACCGAAGTATCCCAGTTCATCTCCCTCATATGGAACTCTTCCTCACAGTTCATATGAAAGTTCAAGAGGTATTTATGATGATAAACCGGACACGTATAGTACGGCATACAGAGATCCTTATCCTAAAGATACCTATGCTCCAACATCTTCCTATAAGGAGAAAACGTACCCTGCTCATAGCGAATCCTACAGGGGTTCATCTAAGCCTTATACTTACGGAGCATTATCTGATCCTTATCTGACAAAACAAAATTCTTATAACTCCCGTCCCTCATACAACACTTATCCCAACACAGATTCACTAAATGATGGAAGCCTGAAATATAGAACCTCACCCAAACCGTATTTATATGATGCCCCCAAATCTTCCTATCATGAAGAAGGTGAACCTAATTCTTATGAAACACCTACATCACATAACAGTGAACCAAAATATCCTGTTTCGGCACACAGGAGCCGTTATATAACACCATCTTATGAAGGATATCCAACATCATACGATTCTCATGATCCTCATTATCATAGTAAGCCAGCTTCACATACTTCGTATGATGAGCCTACTAAGAATTTCCCTGATACTCCATTGCCTGAAACTTACGGCAGTCATTATCCCGATACTACGAACAAGCAACATTTACCAGATAGTGTAGAGAAATCATATCATTCGAATCCTGTTTCATCTAAATCTCCCACTTTTTACAGACAGTCAACTAGTCCAGAAGATTTGCCACAATATTATCAGTCTAGTAACAGATCTTCATACCCAACTTATTCTTCGGATCAATATGGTTCAACACCTACAGGACATTATAGCTACTCAGATCCTTCACAACCAGCATCATATAACGATGCAGAACATATTAAGCTAACTCCGGAAGATGCAACGCCTTCATCGTACTCAAACAAGAAATCTGCAAAAACAGCTTCCAAAAATTCACTAAGTTCTTCATCGCTCCCTTACAGTCATGCCCATAGGGATACTTTAGATTTACCTGATCACCATTCTGCCAAAAAAAATTATAAACCATCAAGACCAGCTCCTCTTTATGATGAATACGAACAGCCTAGATACCCACCGTTGCCACCATATACAAAAAGCAGTGCTGAAAAAACCACCTATAACGATGACTATGATGATCACAGTAAAGAACGTACTAATAGCTATACAAGTGGGGAAGATAGTTATCCACCGAAATCTCATTCCTCTGGTTACGTATCGGAGTCTTATAATCCTACCTACAATAAAGATCAACATCAATCTTACTATCCAGCATCTACTGAATCCAGTCATTATTACGATCATGATCATTCATCCGAAGAAGCTGGTGTTAATATTCCCAAAATTTATACAAAATCAGTAACAAAATCAAAATCATACGTTGTGTCCCCAGATGAATCGTCGAAAGAAAGTGGTTATGCAAAAGATTATTCTTCAGAAGCCCCATATAGTCCCAGAAGTTATTCATCAAAAGACTCATATAAGCCAACTAATAAGAAAACGCGAGTTTATACGACAGGTTCTTCCACTAACTCAAGCCCACACAGCTACGGTGAAGCACCAAGATCATCCGATACGTATGCACCTTCGAAACCTCCTCATGACATAAAAAATTTTAAGTACTACACTCGTAATGATAATCCTGGAGAACCAGCATCTCTTATAAGAGAAACGTTGCCACCAAAGAGAGTAGAAGGTGTAGTATACAGATCTCGTAAAAGGTATTATGATTTACCTAAAATCCAAAAGCCGGGAAGTTATTTATCCTACATTCCTAAGACAGCACCAGCCTTTGACTACAAGGCTTACGAAACCGCTCCTAAGAAAAACTTGACAAAGGTTATCCCACCAAAGACCGATTTCAAATTTAAGTATAGTCCTATGAATGCAGAAACCAGTTATAGAGAAGAAAACCTTTCAGACAGTTACGAAGATTACGAAGATTCTAATCTTGCTGCTATTCCCGGAGAAGCTGGTAAAGATTACCCAGTTTTGAAAGAAATACCACATATCCGGTTTTCCTGTGACAGTAAGGCGCCTGGATTTTATGCTGATGTTGAACACAGGTGCCAGGTGAGTAATAAATATCGTGCTATATCAAATACTATTTCTTTTACATTGAACATCTTTTTAAAATATTTTGACAAAAATACGCAAGTCTACTCTCGCAAAATATAAAGCATGTAGAAATTTTACTCATTCTTTAGATAATTTATCTAAAAAAGGATGTGTAAAAAATAAACATTGTAAAAAAACTATTTTTGACTTGCAAGGAAATCCTCCTTGTAAGTTCCTTGCCATATTAAGCTACTTTGTAAAATCCTCCGCATTAACCGATTAACCGCCCCGACGCATATAACTTACAGACCTTTTTCAACATTTAGACTTACGTTCTAAATCTTTATTGAAACTTTAGGCACAGCGTTCTTTCGTTCAGATTCTCTGCCACGTGGCTTCAAAATTTATGTTCATATATACTATCGGAATTGTAATCTGACTCACTTTTGTCTTCAGAACTATTGCCAAACAAAATTCCAAGGCACCATCAGAAGTTATCTGGTTCCTTCTTCCAATAGTTGTTTTGCGAAAAGTGAGCATCTCAGGGGAAAAGGAATATTTGTTCTTTCGAGGAACTAACCAGAAAAAAGCCCGAAAAAGCAGTGGCCTAAAACCGTAGTGAAATTAACCTGCTACTTGTCTTTAATGCAGACAACCAGAATAAAGCCCGAAGGAAACATTGGCCTAAAACTTCTGGAGAAACTAATCTGCTAGCTGCCTTTAACGCAGACAATACCATCACAATGCAGACAATACCATTCTATTGTCAAAAAATATTCCAGTGAATTGACGAGTATAGTCGTCCATGGCATGAAAACGCATAACTTTTAAGGTGAATATATTAGTTCACTGCAGTAAGCAGGTTAAATCTTTTCCTGCAATTAAATGTACAGAAATGCCTATTTTCTTCGAATAATTATAATTTTTTCTTTTATAAGCCAACAATTGTTTTTAGATCCTCCATGCTGCTTCTGCAGTACATAATATTCCATCTCGGAATTTTACAGATTTTTTTCCTACTGCTGTTGGACTTCTGTCCTCTTCATTTTGCAACTTGTAAGAGTTTTGCGATGTCTATAAGCTTGTTTTAATGTCATGCCGGAAATGAGTTGTCTCTTTAGTCTGAAACAAAGACAAGTCTTCAGAAGGTTAAAACAATCTTTTTATTTAATTTATTCTTAAATGAACAGAATGCATTACTTCCGCGACAGACGAACCTCCGCTACTTGCGAGTATTTAAATTAACACAGGATAAAGTTTAATTCAAGCGTTGATAACGTAATCTGAGGCTGTACATACATCATATTACTTAAACTGTCTCAAGTCTATCGGCGCATATATTAAACTCAAGCTCTAGCAAGATGCTAAAACCGGAATAATTTTGGCAGAGTTAACGATAATAAATAATAACAAGAAGAGGCTGTCAGACGCTCTAGCTCTAACCCTCGGCTTAAATACATAATAACTAATTTGCATTCTGCTGAGGACTACGGAAAGAAGTTATAGTAAAGGTTACTCATAATTAACATAAAATCTCAGAAACATCTAAAAATAGTATGAATTTTTCAAACAAAAATAGTTTTTAAATAGCAAGTTTTATTTAGTAAAGTCTTAGAATTCTATGAATAATTTTTTCTCAGAAATTATAAATGATAAATTAATATGATAAAGGGATTAAAATCTATTGTTGCCGCCTTTTCATTCAACAAACGCAGTTCAAAATCTGTATTTTTTAAATGAAAAACGAGAGCATTGATATTTTACAGATCTTTAATAAAGAACAAAAAAGTCTTCCTGATTTTAAATAATTAATGAGGCATATTTTCTTTGAAAAGAAGGGGTCACCCCCGAATAAATAGCATATCTATTCAATTTTTTTAATTTTGGCATTTACTTCCACCTAAGCACTGAGAACATCTAACACCGGTTAAGACATACGTGGTAACAAATTAGAATATAATAGCAGCATAAAAAATTACACTTATTTTTAAACCATAGCCAGTTTTAGATCAATCAGTTAGTTAAACAAAATTAATTTAACTCTTTGCATATGTAGAGGGAATACATTTTAAAGTTAATTTATTTTAAATTGTAAATTGCCTCATTAATTAATGCCTCATTGATTAATGACTTAATCTACTCTCAACTCAGTGTTCTATATTAGGCCTTTTTCGTAAAGGTTGAACTTTTTTCCCTTAATGATTTTGTTATTCCTAAAACATGTATCCATGCATAGTTCAAAAATTTCTTAAAAGTCGTTAAATTTTAAAACCTAATTCATGCACATTAATAAATTAATTTAGTAACATAATATGTCCTTTTTTCAGTGAAATTCGAACTGCTCTTTTTCATTTGAAAATTAATTTTAGAAATTAATTTATAATAAAAATGTATTATGAATCATCCCTATTTTTCTTTTACTTCACGAATTACGGAAATTATTGTTAGGCGTTGCGAAGAGTTGTTGCACAGGGAAAAATATGTAATTTCAGAGAATTTATTTTAGATGCGATTTATTAAATTTATGAATATTGTTCTTCATTCATCACTGAAAGCACGTAGAGGTAACTGAAAATTTTGTCATTCTTCAGGAAAATGAAACGTTTCCAAAGACTTACTTCAGTTGATTCTTTCAATCCACATTTGCTTCAGTCGGTTGCTTGTTGCATATATCAGTTGATTAATTGATGCATAATTTAGACGATTCATTACTTCATTAAGAAAGTTAATGCTTTATTTAGAGGAAGGCTCTAGTTCTATCGTTTCATTATTTAGAGTTAAGATATAAGCAATGAATAGTGTTGGTGTTTATTTAATGCTCGAAACATTTTAGTGAATTATTTCTGAATTTTATGAAACAAAGCAACATGTTTTGCTCTAAAGTCATTTCAAATGAACTGTCAGTGGCTTCTTATGTTGTAAAATATGTGCAATCTTAATAATTATTCATTTATTTGGAAATATCTGGTTTTTGATACTTAAGCGAATAGCAGCCGTGCTTTCCAATACTTTCGGGAGAATGAGTTAAAACTACATATTAAGTTTTCTGCACGTATTTAAATATTTTTTGTCCATAGGTTGTCCAAAGTCACAAACAGAACATACTGGGGAATGTCTGAGTATAATGTGAAGGAGATAGGCGATTGAGGCAATCATGTCCAGTCAAAAGACGGAATAATGCCAAAACTGCAGCATGAGGAGAATCAGAGATATTATATCCTTTGCCCACGGGATATTGCCAAAACCTTCTAGCTTTTACTCACAAATCTGAGTCATGAATCTTGCTAAATTCCATTTTTATCAATCTCCTTGTAAAATTTAAATTCATAAAACTTCTGGATTTTTGCGATTTCCTTTCTTTTTCAGTGTGGACTCACATTTCCCTATGCTTCACAATTAAATGGCGTGATAATTAACTCACTAAGACTTGATCACTAACCTATAACGAATAAAAATAAGTAAAATTAATATCGTTTATGAAAATTGCATTAAATATTTTGAAATGATTAATTGTTTTATAAATACTTATGCGAAAATTATAATTTCTGAAATACATTCTGACAGCTCTATACATTAAGAAACTTGGTTGCAGAATTACTTACCATCCGTAGTTGACTGCAACAATTTGCCTAACAAACGAAATTACATATAGAATATCAAATAGTAGTCATTCGCATACGCGAATAACTTTTTCGTTTTAAAATCACTATCGCAGAGCATTGATGACTTGTTCTGTGATACGTGTACAGTGAAAAGCATGGAGTTATAGTAACGCTAGTGCGAAGCAATTTCTTTGGCAAAATTCATTCATTAAGACATTTCTTCTTAGGGAGATATTGCTCATACACTTTGTCAGAATCAGTTAACCATCCAACCAATAAAAGAAGACAGGAGAAACAATAGACAAATCACTTGGATGCACAGAGTTCTGCTCAGTTTCTTACATTTAGGTTCTTAGTTCTTCTGTAAACTTTTTTTTATCTTTGAATCCCTTGAAATGCATGAAACACAGCCACCAAGGACCGGGGTAATCTGATTGTTACATGTAATTCCCTTGTATATGACTTTTACCTGAAATTTTATTTATAAATCTTTGCTATCTGTTACTTTACAACAGACACTTCGGGGTAATTTTTCCTCGTCCAGGCTTGCCTCATAACCATAGTACCTACAGCTGCGGCAAATGTCGAGACCCTGTTTTTTTCCTCCCCTTCATTTTGGTTTATTGCGTTTTGCTTCATAAAAAGGGCACGCATGAAGACTGACTTGAACAGTAGTCTCAAATGAGGTGAAGAAAAATAAGTGCTGCGTGGTAATCGAGACATACAATTGCGATAGTTATTGACAAAGAGTAAAAAGAACTTAAAGAATATATTTTAAAGTAATCATTATTGAAAGGACAGATAATTTTTATATAAGCTGTCATTATATTTCGTTTTACATTTTTGCAGGTTTATCACCAATGTAGCGACAAGGGACGTGTACAGAGTTTCCTTTGCCCGAATGGAACCATCTTCAATCAAGAAACATTTGTCTGCGAATGGTGGCACAATGTAGACTGCGAGAAATCCGAGAAGCATTATGGAAAGAACAAAGACTTGTATAAACCAAATGTGCCAGAGAAAGGGAAAGTGAAACAATCTTCGCGCCAAAAGAAGAAAATCCTCCGTAATCCACCTTATTATTCTGATGATCATCAAGGATACGAAAAAGGTAGAGATGATGATGACAGTACTACAAACAAAGAAGACGGACGAAAAAGGCGAAGCAAAATAACTTACGCCTGAACACAGAGATAACTATGCCATGCATGGTTTGTTATTTGATAAATGTCAGTTCTGGTAACAAACTCTACAGAGTGAAATTAAGGAATTGTTCCTGTGTTATTGGAACTACGCTGAAATCATTTCTCATGCTTTCTTAACGAGCTGAAGCAAATAGCTCTATTTAATAACAGTAACGCTTAACTAGTTACAGTTTTTGAAGAACTGTTTGTTATTGTGTGTTTAAATCACAGAGAAAGAGATTCAAAGGATTCGTATCTGGTGTTAGTTACGATGATTAATTCCTTTCAGGACGAATTACATCACCAGTTTTATTTGCCATGAAATTAGCTGCCAATGTAACCATTTTCTTGGATGCATTTAACAAAAGAAATTATTTTGTTGTATCCATTAGTGAAATTTTGTAAGATATTTCATTGGTAATAGTAGCTATATCATCCTTTGCAAAAGTGAGAAAATGATTGATTTCAAGTGTTTCAGATTTTGCACAGTACATTTAGAATGTAAAAAAGCAAAGGAAAGACTTTTATAAAGAGATACAAAATAATTGACTTACATTTAAAAAAAGTTAAATAACTTATCAACAGAAATTAATAGTTATAAAACAGATTAATCTAAAATATGAAACTATCTTAATTTATATAAACCTCGAATTTTATTTCTGCATGTCCAGCGAGATAACAATATTTAAAAAAGTTCCTCTTAGTGTAATAAGAATTTAATTTCCGTCAAACATTACATCATATAAATGATTTTTATCATCAGCATTAAGTCACCAATTTCTTGCTTGCATCTGGCATATGATAATCTGCAAAAGTGTTTAACGGATTCTGTCCACTAAAGAACTTTTATTCATGATAAAATTGGAAATGGAGGAATTCCTACCTTGCCATATTCTTGTTCTGTGTAGATAAGATATTTTTATGCATTAAAATAAATATTTAAATGCACGTGTTTCAGGTCTTTTATTTTATACAGGAAGAGAAACATTTTTCGAGTGCTAAGCATTATAGCTAAGCGTTAAACTATATTTTTTATTTAACGATATTTAAGGGAAATTCTAACATAATATTCATAAAAATATCACTTGTTTTTTCCATGATACTTAAATAGCAATACATAACTGTCTCGCCCACTTGATTACAGAATCGAAACAGCAGTGCGTATTTTGTTTTACAAACAAAGGAATAACTCCATTCAGTAATCAAGCGTCAAAACATGTTTTTGAAATCCAGGGTTTTTTAGCAATTTTCTTAAAAAAAGGATGGTTACATAAAGTTGGTTTCAATTTGCAAGCATCGTTTAACTCATAAGAAAATTGATAAAATAAAATATTGAATTAAAAATGTTTCAATGTTAATATTTCGTAACGTAATGCTTAAAAATGTTAATTAAAAATGTTCTATACTCTGATAGATTCTTCAAAATAGTAAACAGATTCTAATGAAATCTAAAGAACCTGCACAATAATTATTTTTAATGATACAGTTTCACTTTATTACTTCTTAAGCAATAAATAAGTAAAGCATTAATTGTCTTAGGCATCCTAAAGTGTAAGCCATTATGTAAATAAATTCCTCCGATTTTATTTTAATACTTAAGAGTTCAAACTCAAATTCTGAAAGACAGATTTGGAGAATATCTAAAACGACAAAAACGGACTCTAGAAATTTCTGGTACATCAACACATATAATTGTAAATAAATAAACGTTTATTTGCAAAAAAGGTCTGTTTGAGTAGATGAGTTCATAACTTCATACTTTCCAGTTAATAATTTACATAAAGAGTAGACAAATTTTTAGTCCAAAGGGGCTTTGTCCCTGAAAGACTATTGTTTTCGTTTTGTGTTGAATCACTATAAATATCCGTTTCACTCTTCAAACTGTTGCTACCAAATGTTAGAGTCCTGCAATATATTTGAAGAGATTAAGTAATGAAAAATCTGCATAAATGTAGGTATATTTCTCCCATTGTGATAAAACAACGGTACCTAGAGCCATCGAATTTTGAATGACGTAATCCTCCTTCGAATATGGGCATGTGGAAGACCAAATTTGAAATTTGTAATTTGTTTTATTATCGATTTCATATTTGTAAAACTTTAACGAATTCTTGAGTAACAAACTCAACGATTTAAAAGCAAACAATGGCAACACTCTACGGAGGGGGGGGGACCTTTTTATCTCCAGCGCGCGGAACTGTGTATTGGAAATACTAAAGATAAGCTCATTTTAAAAATTATTTGCAACATTGATGAACTGAATTTCATGGTTTAAGTGCAAGATATTTAATAAATCACAAACGTTAAAAAAACGCCTCTTTGGACGTAATTTAAAATCTGAAACCTTTCAGATTTTTTTCAAGGGTTATTTTGGATAGTTTTAAGAATTGAACCCTTTAACCGGGATAGAGGCTAGCGACGCTGACTGCCGTAACGAACCGCTGGGGTTCGAATCCCGTAAAAGGCATGGGTGTTTGTAAATGTGTAGCGTCTGTGCAGCATGGGAGCACTTTAAATACGCGTCAAGCTGAAAGTCCTCTGGAGAGTTAATGGTAGGGAAAGAGGGGTGGGAGACATTTGGACTTGTCCCCTCCCGGGTTACTCTCCATCGAAACTGGGGGCCGATCTGAGCCAAGTCGTACTGTCAATCAAATGTACTGATCTGAGCCAAGTCGTCTATATGGTGCTCAAAGTTCTTGCCAACGACAGCAGCAATCTTACACTTCTTCCCACGATGAATTTCGTGGGCTTGTTCTGATGTTACTGTCAGATGAGTGAGATAAATCACAGAAATAACAACAACAGCAGTTTTAAGCATTGTAGAGACGATTAAATTATAATTTTGAGTATTATTTTCATGTGACTCAATTTGAAAGTTTATATTCCTAGACGTCAAATCGGTTAAGGAACATTAATATTCTCTGCCAGTGCTGAACTGTAGAGAGATTTCTAAGTATTACATCTTTGGAAATAAATGTCTTCACACTGAATGGCACTGATAAATACTAAAATTAATTCATTCGCATACGGATCTGACTAAGCATACTCATTACTTGAAAGGCACTTAAAGGAAGTTTATAAATGTCAAGAGAAGAATCCAATTCTTCACTTGACATTTATTTTCGTTCATTACACTGCATATTGATAAATATGTATTGAAAGTAAAGTGGAAACTCCTCAACTGCACTAAAATTGAGAGTAGAATTTAAAATGTGGAAATCGTTCTTGTAATTACAAAAAATGTCTAAAATGCTCTTATGAAACTTTAATTTTATATTTTCTTTGGGAAAATATGTCCGCGTCAGATTCACATAGGAAATAAAATTTGCTTTCATTTTATAACTCTACATAGCAAGTATATAAACGTGCTTCGTCTAACAGAACTATACACTAAAAATGTTTCTGCATTTTGATTAAATCTTGGTATACTTGAAACGAACGGTACTTCATATTTCAGTTCTTAAATGTACTTATGGCAAAATGTATAAAATGTATATACTCTGTTATTAAAAGTATCTTTAATACATGGGCCACGTGAAGATAGATTTGGGCCAGAAGATTGCAGTTTGCTGGCTGATGACTTACACCATACGTATATTTAATTATTTCCTTCAGTACTAAGAAATCGCAACATCGAAATATGTTCATCACAGATATGTAAAACTTTGGTACAATGAACGTCATCCCTCTTGTATAACAGTTTACAACTCATAAAAGTTTTCGTAACTGGGCTACTGAGTTGTAACTCGTCTTCTCTGATTGTCCCCAAGCACTTTTAACAGGTATTAAGATTTTGCTTCAATTATCTTTTAAATATACTCACTTTACAACAACTCAGTAATAAATTGAGGCCTGCAAAATCAAGAACTCTCTTCAGCTGAAAAAATAAGAACTACTGCTCTTATCAATAATTATACATTTTCAGTTGCTTGATTTTCTTATTTTGATACAAGACTGTGAAAGCTCTCTCTGTTGCATAATATATATATATATTCCATTTTTCTAACATATGGAAACCTATGAAGGCGTTTAAGGTGAGATATCGTTTCCAGACTTGTAAACAACAGCCACTGTTCTCTCAAGAGAAAGCTTTAGCTCTTAAATTAAAAAAAAGAGTTAAATATTGAGACACTTTGATTCTTCCATTTGAAATAATGACTAGAGTCAGTATGTAAATAAAATCTTGAATAAATAAAAAGGGTATTCCTTTAACTCTAGAAACCATGTTCCTTTACAGAAGTCGGAACTGTGTTTGCAGCGATACAAGGTTAAGGAAATAATATCAAAGAGGTCAATATTAGGGTCAAATTAGAAAGCTTGTGTTATAGTCTAACCCAAAAGTTAGGCAGTAATAGAACTCGTCAATAAAATTCAAAGATAGTTTAACGTTGTAATAAATTAATTGAGAAAAAAATGTAAAACTTTAAAAAAATCTGAAAGCTTTCAGATTTTACATTACGCCCAAAGGGACGTTTTCTTAACCTTTCGTGTGTTACCTTTATTTATTAAATGTTTTTTTGCACTTAAAACGATAAAATTCAATTCAACAGCGATATCTCAAAATAATTTTAAAACCAGCATATCTTTAGAATTTCCGATACACGGTCTCGCGCGCTGGAGATAATTTTCTTCCCGTGCAGTTTTGCCATTGCTTGCTTTGGAATCGTTGCGTTTGTTAATCAAAAATTCGTTAACGTTTCACAAAATATGAAATAGGTAATAAAACAAATTCCAAATTTGGGCTTCCAGATGCCCATATTCGGGTGGAAACGTACCGTTATGCAAAATTTGATGCCTGTAGGTACCGTTATTTTATCACAATGCGAGAAACATACACACAGTTATGCAGATTCTTCATTATTTAATTTCTTTAAATATAATACAGGACTCTAATATTTGGTGGCAGCAATTTGAAAAGTGAACCGACATTTATAGTGAATCAAAGCAAACTGCCAAAACGAAATTAATAGCCCTTCTAGGCTAACACCCTTTGGGCTAATAATGGAAAAATTTCATTGCAAGAAACAAAGTTCCTAAAAACTACAGTTTAAAAGTATTTATTTATAAAATAGAGAAAAATGTAGTGTTTCAAAAGTTATATGTTCATGAATATTTATTCGAATTATGCTTTTTTCGTGAAGAACTCCATCCATCAGCAATATTTAGTGTTTACGATATCTGCAGGCTCTGACTAAAAATTTAACCTAAAAAACTCATATCACGTCAGTTACCAATTGGAGTGCTACTTAAGGGAAAAAATCATCTTTGCGAGTGCACATTTCGAAGGAGAGTAAATGTAAAGCATAAATAAACCTAGAGAGTAATTTAACATTAAAGTGCCTTTTTTGTTCACCCCCCCCACCCCCCCCCGCCCCCCCCCCCCCGCCCCCCCCCCCCCCCCCCCCCCCCCCCCCCCCCCCCCCCCCCCCCCCCCCCCCCCCCTCGAAAAAACAACGAATCTTTCGCTTATATCCATAGAAGTAGATATCGCTTAGAACTCACGACTACGTGTGGTATATATATATATATATATTATATATTAATGCATACATACATATATGTAAACAAGAATTTAAAAAGGTATGTATAACTTTAAACTTGTTTATGTGCGAATTGTACTCAAAATTCGTTAAAGCTTTACAAAATATGAAATCAATAAAAACAAATTCCAAATTTCAAATATGGGCTTCCACATGCCCATATTCGCAGTAGGATTACGTCATTCAAAATTCGATGGCTCTATGTACCGTTGTTTTATCACAATGTGAAAAATAGACATACATTTATGCAGATTTTTAATTATTTAATTTCTTTAAATATAATGTAGGACTCATTTGATGGCAACTGTTTGAAAAGTGAAACGGACATTTATAGTGATTCAACGCAAAATCGCAAAACGAAAACAATAGTCCTTTAGGGACAAAGCCCCTTTGGATTAATTATTTACA